CAATTACACACCCAAGGCCAAATCAGCAGCCAACCCAAAGCCCAGGTGGCAAGTGACAAGCCCAATCCCGGAGCCCAACAACCCAGACTGAACCAACCCATCAGATTAGGGTTTCAAACCCTAAATCAGATTAGGGTTTCAAACCCTAAATCAGTTTAGGGTTTCAAACCCTAAATCAGTTTAGGGTTTCAAACCCTAAATCAGTTTAGGGTTTCAAACCCTAAATCAGTTAGGGTTTCAAACCCTAAATCAGTTTAGGGTTTCAAACCCTAAATCAGACTAGGGTTTCAAACCCTAATCCCCTAACTACACAGCCGCCGCTCAAGCCAGATTCCAATCCCCCAGCCGCACGTTGATCTTCACCAGTCATGCCTGAGCCGCGTGAGCAACCGTGAGCCAATCACCGAGCCACCAAGCCGAGGTGTCCCGTCGCCGCCGACTGCTCTCCTGCATGAACAGTGACCGGTTCCTGTAAAAACAGTAACCCAATCAAATAACAGTGGCCTAAACTTACCCCAAATCTAAAAAAAAACCCATTAGAATAGCACCCTAAAATCCCGAAAAATCTGGATTTTATTCACCCAATCAGAGAAATCAAATCCTATCTACCTAGATATCATCATCATCTCACCAGAAACCCGGAGCAAGCAAAGATAAAAGAACAGAAAAAAAGAAGAAAAAGAAGAAGGAAAAACAGAAAAAAACAGAAGAAAAAGGGGAGAAAAAAAAAGTTTTACCTTCTCTAACCCCACCGTGGATCTCGCTGTGACCTTCTCCGATTCCAGCTAGCCCCATTTCTGAAGGTAAAGCCTTTGTTTTTCTGGTTTTGGGGGGAGTCCGGTTCGGGTGGTAAGTTGTGGGTTTGGGTTCTAGAGGTTGGGTTTCAAAGGAGAGGTCGTTAATGGGGGATAGTTGATCGGTTTAGGTTTAGTGGCCACTGATTAGCGGTGGCAGGAGGCTTGGTCGCCTCCCATGGCGGTGAGCCGAGAGAGAGTTCTCTCCCACGGGTTTGGGTCTGCGGCTGAGGAAATGAGGGGAAGAGTAAATGATTTTAGGGTTTTAATATAACCCTTAAAAGGGTTATATTTCAGACGTCGAGCGACGTCGTTTTGAGGCATGAGTGAGGCCGAGTGGTGGGATTAAGGGCTAATAGCCCATTTGGTCCTCTTACCTCTGTAATCTTGCACGCGTGTCCTTAGAGTTTATGGGTAAACAACAGTTTAGGTCCCTGCAGCTTGTGTAATGGTTGTAATCTTACCACTTTAATGAAATTTCATCTTTCTATTTTGAGCTCTTTATTTATTTCTTGTTCCGTTTTAATCCTATATGATTAGTATTATATTTTCTAAGTGTTTAGATTTTTGGTTGCTTGTTTCGTATAATATTCGTTTTAGTCCTCATTTGCATGTGTTGCGTGATTTTAGCTGATGTTCGAATTTGGCCCTCAGATTTATGCATCTTCTGTTTTAGTCACTGTTTTGGCATTTGGTTTAAATATTTTGTTGATCCTTCATGTTTTTTGTGTAATTTCAGTTTAGTTCTTTAACTTACGTTTCTTCGATTTTTGCCCTTTAATTTTATGTATTTGTATTTTGGTCCTTAAATTTCTTTTTTTTGTCGTTATTCTAGCCCTTCAAGCTTGGTTAAACGTCATTTTGGTCCCTGAAATTATCATATGTGCTTATTTGGTTGTATTTTGGTTTGTAATGTTAACTTAGTTTTATTTTAGTTATTTATGTATGAATGTATTTTACATATTTTATGGTTATTGTATTATATTTAATTCAATTTAATGTAAATGTTTATATTTCCAATTGCATTTTATTTTCATTATATTTGATTTTATTTTCAAGAAAACATATTTATAGAACGGGCGTGGAAAGTATCACTTGATCGAAGTGGTACAATCCGATACGACGTTCAAACAGAATATAAAAAATGTAAATTCTTCCTTTTACGAGCTTATAGAAATTATTTTTATTGTTATTCTATTTTTTATTATTTTATTTGATGTTCATATTGTTTAATATTTAAATTTTAATCTTTATTATTATTTCTTCATTGAATCTTAATATGATGATGTATGTTTTGGAAAAATAAAATATGATGTATTTTATGTCAATTTTCGATATTATTTTTTTTAAAAAAAGAGAAAATATTCTTTACAAGTGAGAAATAGACGAGGTAGCTTTCCCGACGGAGGATTGCAAATCTCGGGATTTCTTGTCGAGAAAAGGGTTTTTTCTTTTATTTTAACTAATATTCAATAAATAAATCATAATTTATTTATATTCTATTTTTATAATTTTTATTGTATTAATGGTTTTTATGTTAATATTAACTATACATGTTTTAGATAAATTAAGCATATTTTATTTTCTACTCATGTCGATATTATTTGGTGGTAATTCAAAGATAGAATATACTTTATAGATGAGAAATAGATGAGATAGCTTTCCCGTTGGAGGATTGCAAATCTCGAGATTTCTTACCAAGTGAAGTATTTCTATTATTTTAACTAATATTCAATAAATAGATCATATTTTTACTTCATATTCAAATTGTAATTTCCACCATTTACGACAATGTGTAAGCGACACAGTACCAATTTTGGACGTTGCGGGGGTGTTTACCCTTCCCCGCACGTAACCGACTCCCGAATCCATTTAAATGAATCTTTGGTAACGCAGACCGAATCTTGTCTTAAAAAATGATTTTTCTTAAAATTGTTTTAAAAGACGTTTTTAGGTATTCGACTTACCTAACCCAAAGGTTGATGGCGACTCTTTTTAATTTTATTCAAATCAATTCAAAATCACCCATTTTTTCAAAATAAAGTCATAATCATTTTTTAAAATAATATTTAATAGTTTTATAAAAAAATGGTTACGACAGCATGTCATAATTTTGGGTGTCTTGATCTTGGTTATAGCTCTAGCAGGCTTCATCGGAGGGTTCTGGCGCATCCCGTGGCTCCTCATTGCTTACCTTGTCGGCATTTTGATCCTCATCGTATTGCTTGCGTGCTTGGTTGTTTTCATCTACATGGTCACCGTTAGAGGCTCCGGCCTCCTCGAACCGAGCCGGGCGTACTTGGAATATCATATGGAAGATTTTTCCGGTTGGCTTCAACGAAGAGTAGAAGTTCTTTCAAGTGGGAAAGGATTAAGCTCTGTCTTAGTTCCACAGATTTGTGTTCCCAGATGAACCAAAGCTATACTATGGCTATAGATTTCTTTAACTCTCGTTTAACACCCATTGAGGTAAATCTCACTTCATCTGAAATTTGTTTATTTTTCTTGAAGAATAAATTAATGGGTTTTATGTTTATTTTTCCAGAAAATCTCTCCTGATGATGTTAATGATGAAACCAATGTGTTTCAGTTAATTCAAGCTCACCAGGTTTGTTAAATTTTTTATATACTGTAGTTAATTTGGGTTTGGTGCTTACTGAAATCTGGTCATTCCATTTTCAGGAGAAGGCCGCTAGGCCTTCTCCGGTGGAGGAAATCCGTACTGTGTTTGATCAGAGCACGCGCGGTATGCTTTCAACTTTTTCAGAGGTATGCCATCATAATTACTAGTTGATTTGATCATTTATAATTTAGGTTAATTTATCATGAAGACTGATGTAGAGACACTTTTGATACTTGTTTGAGCAAAGCTATTGCTTTTACTTTCTATTCGTTTTGTTTAGATTACTGTGATTTGCTCACCCTTTCCACGGCGATGATTTGGAATGAAGAAGTTTGAAGGATTCTCGATATGCAGATCATAGTACTAAATTACGGTTGCGGCTGCAGTGTTGAGGTTGCCGGCGTTATACTGCATTGCGACCGCAATTTAATACTATGATGTAAATCATTATCTCATCATCTAGCATACAATTCTAGAAATGAATAAAAGAATCTTGTAATCACTACATTCATGGTGAATAAAAACTTAATCAACTTGCACAAGCTGTTGCTAAATATTGTTAAGTTTTCCTTTTTCTGCCCATCCTATTTGTAGTTTTGGTATCTTAGGCCCATGCTGTTTCTAAATCAACCGATATTTCCTATATAGAACTGTGATGGAAACAAGATCTTCCGAAATCCTGGGTCCTTTGGTACTTCTCGTGAAAGTGTTTCGATGGAATTAAAATGATGACTTATGTTTTCCTTAACAACTCATATTTGGAAATTTTTTCTTGTCATCCTACTGATTTTCTGTATGCAGAGCAGCCTGGCCGATCATACTAAGGTTCTCTCTTAGATTTTGAATCTTATTTGTACGAGTGCTTTGATTTGGAATCTATTCATTGATTGTTCTAGCTCAGAAGAATTAGGAGGGAAATTGAAACATCAAAAGGATATTGGATATCGTTCAGGTTTGTATTTTGTATGATGGACACTCGTATATTGAATCATGTTTCTTCTGCTTCTTTTAATTATGTTAAATCATGTAAATTGTTAAGGTTATAAAATGATATTCTCATGTTACCATCTTTGACAAAATCATTTACGACGGAGGGTAGCCTACTATCTTACCTCCCCCTTACCTCATACATATGGATAAAAGGGACATCCATTTATTTACGACAGCCAGGAAAACTCTAAGATACACCCGTGTTCTTGTAATTAGCATGAGTTTCTTATGTTACAGTCACGGTCACCACTCACCAATCTTTTTTCTTTCTGCCGTTGGGAGTTTCTCTGTTGTTAATCCTATTTTCCCTTTCGACACAGTCTACAAGTTTTATTCTTTTCACCTGATTTATTACAACAATTGCTGTCGTAGGACTTATTGGCCAATCGCAAATGTTCATTGCTTGTTGCTAGAGATCCTGAGGTCAGAACTGATTTAGAAATCACTCTGCATAGTGATGCCATTGCTGTAAGTTATTTGTAATTTTCGTTCTCCTGTTACTCATCCTAATGATTTGGTGTTCTGAAGTATTTGAGATGACGTTTTGATCAATTATATAGGTTTTGCATTTGTTTGCAGTAAAAATTGTGGTAAATAAGAACAATTATTTTCATTAATAAAAATGAAAAATTCAACTTGTATACACCAAACCACAGCAGAAGACAGTTTAACCTTCTCTACCTCAAAACTCTTAACAATCAACACCATTAACATTAGTTGCAAGTTCAGAGAAAAAATGCTCCTGCTGTAGCTGCCATGGCTTATGATAATCTTCAATCCAAATCACTTTCCACACTCCCCATGGCCTTCAATCCCCTTGGTCTCTGCAAACAAAAACAGGGAAGAAGATAACTACATGCACAATATATTCAAAAACTTCACAGAACAGACGATAGCCAAGATTCAAATTACGGTTTCGGTCACGATTGTTGCAATAGCGGGCGCTATTGCGGTTGTGAAATAATGGTTTCGATAGCAGCTACTATTCCGTTAACGGACCGCTATTTAAATCCCTGGAAATAGCTGTCATATGTTTACCTTCTTAGAACTCTTCTTTTCCCTAACTTCGTATCTTTCTTGGCACATATCAGTCAACCATGCCCCAGGGCTCACCAGCTGCACAAAATTGAACCCAAAATTCTGAGAAATCCTTATCCACAAGATAAGATCATCATATGCCTCAGCTTTTGATACATTTATCTCATTTACACGAACGAATACAAGATTTTATATTAGAGATTAAAACAGATTATCAACGTAAAATACAAAGGAAATTCGACAATTGGATTGCTTACAAGTAAGGTCCTTTGGATGATTTTGGCTCTCTTTTTAGGCCTTTGAGGGGGTTTACAACCTTTCATTGCCATGAAATCCTCCTCTTTTTCTTTGCTTGACAAAGTGATAAACAGCTTGGGCCACAATACTACTTTCTTATCCTCTCCATTATTGCTGCTATCCACTGCAATCTTCCCATTCTCATCCACTGCTGATGACCCCCTTGTAGTGTAGAACCTATCTTCCTTCTCCGGCGATGACACTTTCCGGTTATCCGAACGAAGTATAGCTGCTTCGGAATTCCTACAAACCAAACATACAAAATGAGTAAATTTCACACTTTTTTTTACCAGTTTTGCTTGTTTTCATTATAGAAGTTTTATATGGGAAATTTCTTAACACCGTATTTGGCTGCTGAGAGAACAAAAACAGCAGTCGCAAAATCATTTAGTAATTTTCTTGGATTCTCAGAAATCAAAGAAAAGGGTAAACAAAATCCAAAAAAAGAAGAAGAGAGAAAATGCTTGAAAACAAAAAAAAATTCATGTTTTTTTTTTCAAACCATCAAAAGGAGCCAAGAAAAATCATGATTTATATCCATACCTGGTGAGACCATGATTGTAATTGGTAGAAGTGAGTCTTCTGCGAATTACAGCACTGGATTTATGAGACCTTTTGAGGGTCTTTAACTCTCACATCTTAGCCTCTTTCTATTCCCCACTGTAAAAACACCTCTGGCTCTATCGTTTTGCATGCTCTTTGGCTCCTCTCTTCTTTCTCCATCTCTGCCATGAAAACACCATAAACAAATAAATAAATAAATTCATTTTCTTAGAGAAATAAAGAAATTCAAAAGACCAAAAAACGATTTTTTGATGAAGAAAGTAAAACAACAGAACTTATTTTTGGAGAAAACCAAAATCTGGGAGTTTACAGTTTTTTTTTTCTTTTGTTTAAGAAAAGTGTAGGAGAAGAATTGTCATTTTAAAGATTTCTTTTGAAAATTTGAAACTTTGAGAGGAATCCGTTGCCCAACCTTAAGATCTAAGCAAATACACTATAATCTTCCCTAAGAAAAAAACCTGAAATCCAAATAAAAAATAAATCCATTACCATGTAAGAACAAAGAAAATCTCAGAAAAAAATACAGCAAGATAAGAAGAAATCTTACAGTGAAACACTATCATCCCAGAGAAAAACAAAAACTGGGTTTTCTCTTCCGACTGCTTGCCTAAATAATTACTGCAATTTCTTTGTTATTGCTTTCTCAATTGAATTTCAGAAGGACTTTCATCCGTTGTTGGTGTTTCTCTTTCAATCTGCTTTGTTTGATCTCTCTTTAACCTTTTTTCAGCGAACTCTGATTTTTCAGTTTTTTTTCCCTCTGGTTTGTGAAAGAGATGAAGCAAAAACAACCATGGAAAAGGATATGATGGTGGTGGCGTATATGATGATTGAGTGGGTTGGTTAACCCAAAAAAAAACAAGTAGGCGAGGTAGGTGCCGTTAGTTGAATTTTGAATGGAGCCTGGGCTAAATTTGTAGAACGGCCTTGATTTACCTTAAAAGCATTTCAGTTGGGCTTTGCATGTCTAATAATATTAGATATATGTGGGATGTAATATTACGAGTGATTAATTACTAGGAAGCAGCTTTGATCTTAGAAATTTGGCATCTTAAGTCAATTAAATGTGGTCAAAAGAAAAGGCCGATTATATTGACTTTTCCCTGATTTATTGGGATTCTGCTGCTTTTCTAACATGGATTATTGTCTTAAAATCATTGGACTAAAGTGAGATAAGAAATTAAATATATTAATTTTCTGAACAAATAATATATATATATATATATTTTAATTTTACATAGAATTAGGATTGTTATAAGTTATTGGAGTATTAATTTTACTAGGGTTTTCGCCTTTTCTCCCTGTCTTTGACAGGTTTTTTCTTCTAGGGTTTTGCCCTTCTTCGCTTTCTGTTTCTGTTGTGGCTATCGTTTCTCGTCTGGGTTTTCGCGCGTATGTGTGATGTCTCATTCCGTGCCCCCCACAACAACGAGGATCACTGCAAAATCCATGGTTGAGAGGGGAAGATAGTGATGGAAGGATCTCCTTAGGAAATAATTAAGAGCGATGAGGTGTTCTTGCTGAGAATAGGTCCATGGAGTGCGCATGGATTCATTAGTCAAAGGAACGTGAGGGTAATCACCCTTTGACTATTTTGGATAAGAATCAACCGTTGGCTCATCAATTTTCGATGGATGTGATAATGGCAGAAATTGAGGATTGAGAATCCGTTAGTGAGAGTTGATGGTGTTGAACGTCAAAGGCATTCGCCGAAGTGTGACGGGTGTTTAGAGGAGATAATATCTAATGGAGAGCAAAACGTACCAGCGGCAGGCATGTAGAACCAGGCCAACTGATCTCAATGAAGCTCTTGAGTTGGAACGTCTAGGGTTTGGGTCAACCTCGGGCAGTTAGACGCCTTTGGCATTACTGAGGGACGTTAACCTAGCTGTAATTTTCTTGATTAAAAAAAACTACATAAGTTACGTATGGAGATAGTTCATAGATCGTGTGGATATCCAAATAGTTTAGATGTTAGTTCGTATGGGAGTAGTGGAGGTTTAAGTTTGGCTTGGCGAAGAGATTATGATGTGACACTTTGGTCGTTTTTGGCAATGCACATTGATGTTTTGATTAAAGCTACTAAAGATGGATTATTGTGGCATTATACGGGAATCTATGGAGCTCTTGAGGAGAGTCGAAGACACGAATGGGTATACAAAAATTATAATTTTTTTTTCTTAACACATTAAGTTAAATTTAATCCATTTCCAAAATAATGGGATGTACTTTCACTATGGGGGCTTAGTGAATCTGCCATTGATTGTGTTCGCTTGGGCCTTAACAAATGGTTCAAGAGAGTTACGAGGGAGAAACACATTTCATAGGAAAAACCTTAAGAATAGGTTAGTGGAGTTAGAAGATTCTGTCCCGAGATCGGATGTCCTGGGGGAAATTACGGACATTAAATTACAACTCAATCTCGAAATTTGACAGGTCAGAACTTTAGTGGGAGAAGAGGGTATGGGCAAATTGGATTAAGAACGAGGTTAATAATACGAAGTTTTTTTCATAATTATGCCACTCAGTGAAAACACAGGAATCGTATTCAATTTCTTGACCATGATGACGGTGAACAATTGGAGGATAAGGGGATGATTGAAGATGAAGCCAGAGGTTATTTCTAGAACTTATTTGCCTCGATTATGAGTGAGGTGGACAACCGCATCCTAAAAGGCGTGGTCCCTTCTATCTCATCTGAAATAAATGATAGTTTATTGAAGGAAGTCACGTTTGTTGATGTGACAATGGTTGTAAAATCTATGTGTCCCCTTAAAGCTTCCAGGCCAGATGGATTGGGTGCTTTTTTACCAAAGGTTTTGACGCATCTTTGGTCACGAGATTGTTGCATTCTGTATTGATTTTATTTAACGCCGCTTTCATATGGACTCGGTTAATCTTACTCACATTATGTTAATACCCAAGGTCTGATCTCCTCTTAATCTCACTCCATATTGACCAATTAGTCTCTGCAACGTGCTATTCAAAAAATTATTGAAAATATTGGTAGCAAGGGTGTAGAGGCTGCTACATTTGTTTGAAAAAGCGCAGTGTATTTTTGACAAACAGATTAGTTACAGATAACATCATCTCGGCTATGAGATTCTTCACTCCTTTATGAATAAACGCATTGGTCGTTCTAGGTTATTTCCTTTAAAATTACATATGAGTAAAGCTTGTGACAGGATGGGTGACCGTTCATTTGAGAAGTTATGGATCGAATGAGTTTTGCACAGTGGTGGATAATGCTTCTTCAAAGATGTGTTTGCTCGGTCTCGTACGCTATAGTGACAAATGGTGTGGATGAAGATGTGTTTTTTCCATAACAAGACCTCCGTCAAAGTGATCCCTTTAGTCCGTATCTTTTTATGATTTGTAGCAAGGGGTTATCCTTGCTCATTCGACAATCGGCAAGCCTCGGTCGGTTGAAAGGCGTCAAAGTTAATTGGTATGTGCCTTCGGTCACTCATCTCTTATTTGCGGATGATTTCCTTATCTTTGGAGAGGCCAATGCGTGAGTGGCAGGTAAAATTAAAGATATCATGTGACTTTATGTGGAGAGCTCAGGTAAATTTATAAACTTTTAAAAGTCGGGACCTTTTTCAGTTAAAATTTTATTGAGGAACATAAAGCTGATGTAAGACGAATTTTAGAGGGTAGAAGCTCCTCGAACCATAAAAAATATTTGGGTTTATCACATTAGTTTAAAGGAATAAAAGACGAGCATTTGTTCATTTTAAGGAGCGAATTCTGACTGGTATTAACGCATGCAGCATTCGCTTTCTCTCGCGAGGGGTAAGGAAGTCTTTATCAAGTCCGTGCTTCATGCACTACCCATTTATGCAGTGAACTATTTTTTACTCCCTAAAAGCCTTTGCGACGAGTTGAAAGGTCTGATGGCTCGGTTTTGGTGAAGGAAAATCTATTCGAGTTGAAAGAGAAAGAGGTTTTGGTGTTTCGTAACTTGGCCAAGTTCAATGTGTCTTTATTGGCGAAGCAAGGATAACGCTTGATCACCTCCTCTTTTTTGCTTGCGAGTAGGATAATTAGATCCAAATATTATCATACGACAGATTTTATGCACGCTAGGCTGGGCTCCCAACCCTCATATGTGTGTTGTAGTATTTGGAGTACGCGTGGATTATTAGAGAATGGACTTCGATAGAGAGTGGGGTTGAGTTTTTCCTTCTCTATCTAGAACGACTTCTAGCTACCATTACAACCACCAGCGTGTGTATCTTCCCCTCTCTCAAAGCTCGTCGAGCGAGTGCCTGACTTGATTGTAGAGCATGGGAATATCTGGAATGAAGGGTTAATTCGAAGTATATTTTCTAAGAGAGAAGAAGATTTGATTTTAGAAATTCCTCTCCATTCGTCTATAATGGAAGATTGTATCATGTGGAGTGGGGAGAAAATAGGCTTGCTTACGGTTAGGAGTGGCTATAGGTTGTTGTTAGGTAGTCCTAATGGAGTGAATTATTCAACAATCTACTATACAAGAATTTGAGGCAGCGATTGTCAAAGGAAAATAAAACACCAAGTTTAAAGATATTCGCAAGAAATATTAAATAATTTTGAGAAAAAGAATCTAGATTTGTAAAATTTGTTTTCCAAAGTTCATGAGGATCACTAAAAGAAAATTATGATATTGAGAAAGAAAAAGTTAATTTTAACAAAATTATCAAAAATAAATTTGCAAGAGGGGAGTACACTAAATCAATTTTTTTAAATTTTTTGACAATAGACATGTTTATTCTCCTAAATTTTATAAAGGAAAAATGATTAAGAGTATATGTGTCTCTAAAGGCCTCATTGCTACTAGAAATAAGGATATCCTATCTCATGGATACCTAAGGGGACTAATTGTTTGAAACTAATGCTAATGGACCCAAAAATATTTGGGTACCAAAATTTGTATAATTGTATATTGTAGGTGTGATAGAGCTATTGTGAGCAAAGTCAAGCTATTTAGGAGCTTTAAAACACACTAAGGAAAGACACTTGAAGAAATAGAGACCTAAGAAATCAACCTTAATTCAAGTGATAATAAGTTTTAATTTCATGCAATTTTATGCTTTTATATGTTTATATACATGATTGAGTGTCCCCACATAGTGCTTAATTGTAATTAGTTAAGATAGTTATTTTTGCATTAGTTGCATATTTATGGCCTAATATGCTTATATTGATAATTTTTGTCTTAAATTCGCGATGTTGGTGTTGTTGTGAAATCATGTTCTTCATGCTTTATATTGATCATATGTTGATTTTGAGAATATGATATTTAAATGTGAAAAAAATTAAAAATATGCATGTTTAGGATCTTTAGAGTCATTGTATGTTTGTGTGACTTGATTTGAACTTGATTTGTTCAAATTATGGACTAAATTGATCAATAGATAAAAATTTGCATAATTTGATGTTTCAAGTTGACATTCATACACATTTAGTATCCTCTAAGTCATTAAAATTAATTTTCTATCAATAATATGATTTAGGACGCATCTAATTCGAGTCAACTACCATCCAATTTGGTCATTGAAATAAAAAATCAAATTTCCAGAAAAATGATTGATCCCTTTGTGTAAATGATTGATCCCTTGCATTTTTTTAGAAAAATGATCGATCCCTTTATAAAAATGATCGATCCTTTTTTAAAAATGATAAATCCTTTTTTGTGATGGATCGATCCCATTAGGCCAAAATCATTTGATGAACCTTTTTAAGTTTGTTTCACACACATATTTCCTTCACCAAGCATATTTCGAAGCAAATACACCCAAAACCTCCCAAACTTCGAATTTCATCAAA